AACTAGCATAGAATCTCTACGATACTAAAATAAATCTGACTCGCAAATATGATGCACTAGTTTGAAAAAACTCTCCTTTAGCATTGCACAGAAAACACAAATAGGTTTGAAACAACCTGATGGTGAGTAAATAAATTATAATAAATTAAATTAAGGGGAAGTCGTGGCCTAATGGTTAGAGAGTCGGACTCGAGTCTCGTACCGGCAGGGATTGTAGGTGGGGGGGGTGAATGTACAGCGCTCGCTTCCACCTTCAATACAATGACTGAGGTGCCCTTGAGCAAGGCACCGAACCCCCAACTGCTCCCTGGGCGCCGCAGCATAAAATGGCTGCCCACTGCTCCGGGTGTGTGTTCACGGTTTGTGTGTGTCCACTGCTGTGTGTGTGCACTTTGGATGGGTAAATGCAGAGCACTAACTCTGAGTGCTGTGTGTGTGCACTTTGGATGGGATAAATGCAGAGCACTAATTCCAAGTATGGGTCACCACATGTCACGTCACTTTTCACTATTAAATTATAATTTTTTTAGTTGAACTTACAGTAAAAGTAGTGAAAACAAGTGAATTGAGAGTCTTAAAAAATGCATACAAAACGGTTTTAATTCTACGCATCACATGAGGAACATTTAAACATGGTTTCAAACATTCGGCAACCACAAAAGTTCGATTATAAGTTCGACAAAGTGCAGAAGGCATGTATGCTGCTTTCCAAAAGGATCACTAAAATGATATACGTCAACATCAAAAAGGCTAAAGCAACACAATATACGTCAACTACTGATTCAACAATGAGGAAATATGTCTGAATAATTTTTAATAATTTTTTGCAATTCCATTCGGTGCCACTAGAGGTGCAGACACGCTTCACCTTTGACATACACCTTAAACACCATCAGACTACATTCTGCATCCCTCTCACACACACACTCTATATTCTCTCTCTTTCATTTGCCTCAAGCTTTCACAATCATGGACCAGAACAGAGACGGCTTTATCGACAAGAATGACCTGAGGGATACGTTCGCAGCTTTAGGTGGACTGTAATAATCTCTGTCCTTCTGCATTGCTGGATGAAGCGTCTCTCTGACAGCAGTTCTGACCTCTGCCTCCGCAGGCCGCCTGAACGTCAAACAAGAGGAGCTCGACGAGATGCTAAAGGAGGCTCCAGGACCCATTAACTTCACCGTCTTCCTCACCATGTTTGGGGAGAAGCTTAAAGGTAAATGGTGGGGTGAAGTGGTACTAAGAATCTGAAAACCCTGGAAGAATTTTATTTTCATTTATCCAGCAACTTAAGACCAACATTTCTGACTGTAACTTCTTTATCATTCTTTCAAGTTCTTTTTTTAACTATTCTATTTATTTTTTTTTATCTAATTATATATATATATTTTTTTTTTCACTTACATCTACACTACCAATTAAAATTTTGGGTCAGTAAAATTTTTGTTTGAAAAATGAACACTTCTATTCCGCAACGATGCATTAAATTGATCAAAAGCGACAGTAAAAACATGTATAATGTTACAAGTAAATTCTATTTCAAATAAATGCTGTTCTTTTGAGCTTTCCATTAATCAAAGAATCCGGAAAAATAAAATGTATCACTATTTTCACAAATATATGCACAACTGTTTTCACCATATCCAGAAATGTTTCTTGAGCAAATCAGCATATTAGAATGATTTCTGAAGATCATGTGACACTGAAGACTGGAGTAATGATGCTGAAAATACAGCTTTGATCTCAGGAATAAATTACATTTTACAATATATTACAACTGAAAACAGTTGTTTTAAATTGTAATATTTCAAAATAATACCATTTTTACTGTATAAAAAAAATAAATGCAGCCTTGGTGAGCATAAGAGATTCTTTCAAAAACATAACAACATATTTTTAATGTATAATCGAGTTTTATTCTTAAAATTTTACTGTATATTGTACTTAATTTAAACAAAACTCTAGGCGTATTGGAATAAAGTCTCACGAGTGGACAAGAAATCACACAGGGATTTTCTTTCCTTTTGAAGTCCTACAGAAGCATTTGATCCTACTGGGAATCATAATAGGCCTATAAGGAACTATATGTTCTGGAAGCTCTTGTATGAGCCTGTATGACGATTCCCATAGGATCAGCTCAGAATTGTCCACTAGGAATCCTGTACAAAGTATGTCTTATTGCATTCCCGGAGGATTTTAAAGACAGTTAGGTCTCTTGTCAGTTTTCTGTTGTGCACTCTTTTTTTAAAAACAGGTGCCGATGCAGAGGAGACCATTCTGAATGCCTTTAAAGTGTTCGACCCAGAGGGAAAGGGGACCTTGAGGAAGGATTTGTGAGTACCACAAACAACACAATCTGCCCTGCTTCTCTGCAAATCCATTTCTCCAGAGATTCTGCTTTGTTTGTCAGCTTATGACTTTACAAGCTACTGAAGTAAAACATGCAGTACATATAGATTTTTCAAACCCTGCATGCATATGCACTCAAAAAATAAATAAATACATTTTATATATATAAAATATAGCCGTTTGGTTTACACAGGTTGATGTATAATTTTCAGTTAGACATAAATGAAACAGGTCAAATTTCTTTAATAGTACTAATAAATAGAATGGGTTTTGAAAAAAGAATAAGCAGGTTTATATATTTATCATCATTAAATTCAAACTGCTCCAGTATCATACATTTAACTAACTGAATATTGCTTGTTCCACAGCTAGCCATATTGCAACCATTTTCATACTTTTTAACTAAATAAATATAATTTTCACAATGAACACTTATGCTGATTGCACGCAATCTGAATAAATGCATTTTGAAAACATGAGTATTTAAATGAGATCAAATAGATTTCAAAATCAAATATACTATGCCGTGCGTGATGTTTTTGAGTGCAGAAATCATACCCATTTCATTTATGTATGACTGAAAGTATGCATTATATTAGGTTTAATAGTTTACATTAAAACTGTGTGATCCAAATGGATGGAAATCCTATGAAATCTTAAATTCATGTCTAAATATTTCTGAGTGTCTGAAGTGTTTGCCAGAAGTTATTTGATTATATCAAAAGGTCAAACTGAAGTTTGTCTCTCCTCACAGTTTGGCACAGATGTTGACAACGCAAGCAGACCGATTTTCTCCAGAAGAGGTTTGACATCTGAGATGATTTGTTTTATGTATGAACGCCGTATGTCACATTGACATTTATATTCTATGTGAATGGAAAGCAGGAGGTGACATTATATTGTGTTTATCTATAGATTATGACTACGACTAGTGAATTTTCTACTGTGTAAACCACACAATCACTCACAAAAACACTATAATGCCATTTTTCATCCATCTCTCTTCAGATGGAGCAGATGTTTAGTGCTTTTCCTCCAGACGCGGCAGGTAATCTGGACTATAAGAATCTGGTCTACATCATCACACATGGGGAGGAGAAGGACCAAGAGTGAAATATCTCATGTTCAACAACATCATGATACATGTATGACACAATAAATACTGTCCTGCGCTATATACTGTAGTCTCTCATTTACAGCACTGAACTGAACAATTACACCAAATGAGAATAAAATGCATTTAATATTAGAGTTGGTTTTGTTATTTTACTAAGAAACAGTGCCCAGTAAAACATGTGCAGTCAAATTATTCATAAGCCTACACATTTGCATTCATTTGAATTTACAACAGCCACAAGCAGCATTTGCACAATTAAGTATGAATGTCATTGTATTAGATTAACAAAAGATATCAAAGCAAGTGTGATTTGTTTTAAAGAAAAACAATACAATCACCTGTAAAACAAAAATATTTCACAAAAATACATTTATAAGATTCAACATCGTAAACATAATAATTAGGTCTAATGTTGAATATAAGATGAGACATATGGTGGGCAAAAATTAAGAAACGTTCAATCTGATAAACGTTGCTGCAGATTTTGAGCAGAATACAAACACTTCATCTAATGAATGACATTTGCATTTTGTAGGAATGATATGTCAACAAATGATTCTGTCACAAATATATATATATATATATATGGAAACAGCCATCATGTAAAATGCAAGAGTGTAGAAATTAGTAGGGACAATTAAATGTCTGTTGTCTACCGTTATATCCCCACCAATGCCAAACTCAAACCTACACCCTTGCTCAAATGATTACAGTAGAGTAGCAATTCAATAAGATTCACCATTTTGAAAGATAGTCCAGAATTTCCAAATTTCTGAAAATTATTCAAACCGTTCACTCGTCTTTTTGAGCATTTCATTAAGTGGCTCAAACGAGTCTTTTATTCAGGAAATAAATTACACTGGCAGCTCTGTAAGTTTCACTACAAAATGGCTCATAAGAGTCGATTAGTTTGAGAAGCAGGCTGGTCATGCTTTATTTATTTATTTTATTTTTTTCAATATAACAAACAGCTTAAAGAGCCATTTTTTTCAGACTAGAATGACACTTGTCACTAAAAAGAACAGGCTCAAAAGAGTCATTTATTTAGGAATCTGATTACACTCGTGTTATGTTTTTTGACTCACTATAAAGAACCGGCTCATACGAGTCATTTATTTGTGAATCATTCTACACTGTGCGTTGTTCTCATGTGTTTAATATAAACACAAGTCAATTGAAAGACGCAGACATTCAATGCAGACTGCAAACTCACATTCAGTGGCACTGACTCCAAGCTGTGCAGAAACCCCCGAGTAAAGAGACCTCTAACATTAGTCTTTACTGCCACCTACTGCCCGAGTAATTTACTTACTATTGTTATAAACACAACCCTGAACCTCAACGGCAGTCGAGGCACATTTTTACACAAAATTCTGCTGAAGTGAGTCATTGCAGTCTATACAAACACAAATTCCTATAACTTCAATCATCCACTGCTTAAGCCACAACAGTTCACGGCCTTTCATAGATGTGAAAAATTACAGCATTTTATTCAGCAATTACATAGAATGGCCTTGATTTCTACAGTGCTTTGACAAGGTTTTCTCTCTCTCTCTCACTCTCTTTGAATAAAATGCAGAATATATATCAAAAGACTGACATAGAAGAAACAGCATATTAAACTGCCTTTACAAAAACTATACGAGACATTTAAGATTTAAAAAAAAAAAATCTAAAATACATTGAGGCAACTTTTTTTGATTGATCAGTTATAAAAACGTTAACAACATGCTACATACTAACCTTATCCACCTTATTTTGCAATGCGAAGCAAACTATTTTCTGTGAATGTGCGAGACAACCGATTTATTAGTCTTCCTGAAATGACTAGAAGAATAACAAGGTGCAATAAACAGTAAAGCTATTTGCGCTACAAACAATTTTTATGATTATGATAATACATTAACATAAGGAATAAAAAGCAGCCATATAAAGCAGCATAACTACTTTTTTTGTACAGGAAAAAAAAAACCTGAGAAGCCTCGCACATTCGAGTTACAAATAGCCGTGCCGCTTATACGTAAAAAAATAATATAAATTAATAACATTCGAGTTAGTCATGTAGTAGCTAATAAATCCTGTTTGTCTAAAATGTACTGCACGAGTACGACCAATAGATGGCGACAAAGCCTTACATAATTCATAGAGGGTTTCATAACACACCATAACAACTCAATTTGAAATAGATGGGAGTTATGAACTACCACTCCAAGAGTTCAGATTTCCAACAGATAACCAAATTATCACTCTGTACAGGTTTAATTCCTTCAATAATTGAATGCATGTAAATAATGTTAAAAATCAACATCAGTCTGATCTAGTGTATGTACACTGAACAAAATTATAAACGCAACACTTTTGTTTTTGCCCCCATTTTTCATGAGCTAAACTCGAAGATCTAAGACTTTTTCTATGTACACAAAAGGCCTATTTCTCTCAAATATTGTTCACAAATCTGTCTAAATCTGTGTTAGTGAGCACTTCTCCTTTGCCGAGATAATCCATCCACCTCACAGGTGTGGCATATCAAGATGCTGATTAGACAGCATGATTATTGCACAGGTGTGCCTTAGGCTGGCCACAATAAAAGGCCACTCTAAAATGTGCAGTTTTATCACACAGCACAATGCCACAGATGTCGCAAGTTTTGAGGGAGCATGCAATTGGCATGCTGACTGCAGGAATGTCCACCAGAGCTGTTGCCCGTGAATTGAATGTTCATTTCTCTACCATAAGCCGTCTCCAAAGCCTGATGTGACTGAAACCACAAGCTGTTTCAGAGTAAAGCTCTTGGCACATGCATTATACCTCCAAATGCCCTATCCTGAATCACAAATTTGCGTTAAACTATATAAAATATGATGAACAGAATCTGAATATTTTAATTGGAACCTCTTTGTACTTTACCAAGTAAGGAGCTGCAATATCAAGACAACACCTAAACAAACAGAAACAGACATGGGCCAAGCTCATTTATATGTGCATAACTACAAAAATACAAATATTGTAAACCACTTATTAATATGACGATATATAGGATATATAATATTTGTGAAATATGCTTTACCTTTGAAATTTTGTGTACGCTCACGTGTGCAGGTCCAAGAATAGGTGAATATAATATATTCGTTTTATACTTAGTGGCTACATTCTGACATTTTTAGTCATTACATCTAAATTTGATACAAAATTGTACACGTATTTTATTATAAAGTGTAACCAGGTACGTCTTGTTTTATAAATGAACTCTGCGGCCTGTGTATTTCAACAAATCTCTTTCATTGGTCTCCATTAAAGTGTTTTTTAATACTCTATTAAAGGTACAGGGGTTGCGTAACGGCGTGTGACGTCAAAGCAGTCGTAAGACTTCAGTCGCGTCGCGGCCCTCGGCAGCAGTTCACGAACAGACACGCGAGCGGAGCGCGCAGCGATGGGGCTCAGCGCGAGAAGACCCGGATCGACTTGGATGTTCTGAACCGCATCGGATCGATCGCTATGGAGAGCTGATCCGTAAAGACAGCGAGAATTTGAACGTCGCTGATTGACATTGTGGATGCGCTTGTTGTGACATCTCCAGACTCATCTCGAGCCGCGGATCTGTTGTTAGTAGTCGAGCTAACCCAAACCACCCCTGCAGCGGAGGCCGGGGGTGATGCTGTCCGTTCTCTCGTACGGTAGACTGGTGGCCCGAGCGGTCATCGGCGGACTCTCTCAAACCGACAGCCGCGATTACAGCCTGGTGTCCGCCAGCTTCGGCTTCGGGAAGGATTTTCGGAAGGGGATCTTGAAGAAAGGGACGTGTTATGGAGACGACGCGTGCTTCATAGCCCGACACAGGTCTGCTGATGTGCTAGGTATGTAATGATTAACGGCTCTTTATGATACACGCGAAGATACTTTGTTTGAGAGAACTGGTTTAGTCGAGTACCATCGTGGTTGAATCGCTTCTGACGTCACAGCTGTCGCACATCGGTGGCCTGTAGGAGCATCAACAAAAGCCTTTATAACATCATACTGTATATGTCAGTTATTAGCATAAACCTGTTCAATCTTACTTTAACATGGATATTTCTCTTTAATGTATTTTATTATGATACTGAAAAACAGGCTATATATTTATCATAGTTATTACCGTTACTATAAATAATGGAGCACAATGATAAAAACATTTTGTAACAGTGACGTCAGACGGGCCTTTACGAACGTTCTGAATCGAATTTTAAATCGGAACATTGCTCGCAACAAAGTATCATTTCCCATTGTGACGTCAGTAGCGTTCAGAACTACATATTCCATAAACCTACTGAAATTACTCAGTCCTTTCATTCCAAAGATCATCATTAGAGTGTTGTCCATTTATTTTATTATGAAGTGCTCCCACTTTTTATTTGAAACAGACTCGCTTCTTCGGTCTCATTATTACATTAGAAGGAAAAATGTTTTGGCAGTATCTGCTTTCTTCTTGTATGAATGTTTTGCTTCTTTATTTTCCCCTTTGCTGTTTTTATTTATTTTCATTATTTTTTTTGTTAATATTTATTTGAATATATATTAAATTGTGTTCATGCTTGTTGCCTTGTGTACATTTACTATGCAATAAAAAATGAATCCAGAATTGCTGCAGCTGTCGGCAAACAATAACAGAGTGCGAGTCTGTTTCTACTGTTTAGTACTCCACGTGACTGGAGGGTCTGAACTGTTTTAGCTACTGTTACAAAAAGCACTAAACAGTACTTTCTGTACTGCTATATGGAGGGTTATGAGCACAAAGTGAGATAAGATATTAAAAAGGATCATGTGTTAGGCTACACAAACTAAGTGTGACACCTCAAAGTGGCTTGTACTTTAAATTAAAATGTGAACATGGGTAGCAGTGAAAGTAGTTCATTTGATATAGCTGCTAGAATTTGCAATGATACCATTTTAATACTATTCCATAACCTAATAGTCCTCTGTTACATCATAACATTGTTTGTAACCTGAGAATTTGAACTGTTAGGGTTATCAAGAGTGCACATTAGTTTATATATAACACAAAACCCATCTAGCT